GGAGCTGCACGGCTACTGCAACGCCGACTCGCAGTGCCAGTCGAACCGGTGCCGCAAGTACGAGTGCTCGTCGTCGTCGTCGTCCAAGAAGCGTCTCGGCTCCCTCTGCCTCGTCGCGTCGCAGTGCGCCAGCGGCAACTGCAAGGACCACCGGTGCGCCCCGCTGCACGGCGCGGGACACGTCGGCGACTTCTGCAACCGCGACAAGCAGTGCTTCAGCGCGCACTGCCACAAGAACCTGTGCGCCAAGAAGCACTAGCTTGTGTCGGCACGGTCCTCGACGAGGCGCCAGCGACGTAGGCAGCCCGGCCTGGTTTGGTCCGGCCCAGAGTCGGAAGCGCCTCATCGTCGTCCTCCCCTCGTCGCCTTGCTTTGCCTTGCCTTGCGCTGCTTGCGTGTTGGCTCGCAGTCTGACATTCACCGACCCGGCTCGGCTCGGCTCGGTCCGCTCTCCTTTCCCCTCTCCTTCCCATCCCCTTCTCTTTCGACTTCTCACTTAGACTCCTCCTCGCCCTTCTTCCATCGTGTCATAGGGCAGGGTAGCGAGCGACACGGCAGTGCTCCCCTCTGCACGCTCTCTTTCGGTTTCATGGACCTTTGTCTCGTCGAACTTGCAACGCCTTTCCGTCGGCCCCTCCTTTGGCTCGTACCCCCCCTCTCTTTCTCTCTCATGAACGGAGCCCATAAAACGCTCCCCCTCCGTCCTCCCTCTTTGGTAAACGACAAACGAACCCTCTCTTTTCTAGCTCGCTCGCTCGCTCCTCCCTGTCACGTCATCGCAATTCGGATCGATCTCGCTCGGTACGCACGGAAGGCATGGCCCGTCCCTCGGTATCGCCTGATTCTCGTCGAGCAAAGGGCAGGAGACCCGGTGCCGGGTGCAGCGTCGAGATGAGAGCAGCGTCGTTCCGTGCATGACATTCTGACGTCGCACGGCACGGCAGGGTGCAGCGCAGATAGCATGGCAATGAGCCTGATGCCGCCGTCGGTCGGCCGGTAGAGTACAACAGCGGCCAGGCAAGACGAGAGAGCCACGGTTCGAGAAGTGTTCGGCGCGTCGACCAACGGAGAGCGTAAGGTTCGCAGGTCTTGGCGCACGAAAGGGGGCGGGCGGGCGAACCTGAACAGGTCGGATCGCACTGCATCGGATCGCATCGGATCATGACGATGGTGTGGCGTTGGCGGCGGCAGCGGCCGCAACGGCAGCCGCGCCAGCGCCGCGGAGCATCATGGCG